CTCTCTCTCTCTCTCTCTCTCTCTCTCTCTCTCTCTCTCTCTCTCACTCACTCACCCTTCTGGCTCTCAGTCCTCCTCGTCCCCCAGCCTGCAGAGTTTTCCGTCCTGTGTCGGGATAACATCGTAAGTAAGGACCACCTGACGGCAGGACTAAATGGAAGCAGCGGAGGAAACTCTCACTTACCGAGATGACACCTTACTTCACAGGAAGCTGCCCCCAAAGGACAAACATAAGGACAAGAAGGACAGTAAGGGCCATGCCATCGAGACAGAAAGCGAGGAGTCCAACTATGTGGACCTAGACATGAAACCCGACGGCGCAAAAACAGTGAAAGTGACTTTCACTGGCGAGGAGAACCAGCTGCCTGTTATCAAGTGCGACAGTTCAAAGCAGTGGGAGCACGACGAGGAGGGTATAATCATTTCTGAAGATTTCGTGGAGGAGCAGTTAGAGGACGAGCGGGCCACCTTCCCCGGGCCCGTTTCGGGTGAGCCTCTTTTGGAAACTCTGACCAAACTTCCCAACACCGATCGGGAGTCGGAAAATGAGAAACAGCGCCAGGCCGAGCACGACTGCAGTGAACATGTGTGGAGTGAGAGTGATGAGCTCCAGTACACGGATATGTATCTAAACAGCAAGACGGAGTCGGATGATGGTGCCAGCGCGATGATGTCCGACTACTGCGGCTCCGACACCGTGGAGGACGAGTCCCACTATATCACAACGCACGAAATCCAGCTGACCGAGCTTGACCACGACGTAGATTACGACCTGGGGCGAGGGACCTGTTGGGATTTTGAAGACGACAACTTGGTTTTTTCCTTTGTGGATTACGCGTCTTTCGAGAGCGACGAAACGCAGGAGGGGGCTTTGATACTGAAACGCAGGGGCCAGGCGAAAGTGCAGTCTAATCTTGGTGGAGAAGTTGTCAGCACCGAGCAGGAGGATAGTGATCTTTGCGACTCGGACAAATGCGCCAGCTCAGATGAAAGCCTGTGCAAAAACCACAGCGGAGACGCTAATAAAGGGAAAATTCATGTATCAATAAAAACATCCTCCAGGGCGGTGAACAAGCCAGTCAGTACCTCTGACAACAGCACGCGTGGGAACACAAAACACTTTGGAGACGGGAGCCACTTCTCTTTTGTGAGCTCTGGCGCCAGAGTGGGGCCCTTTACCGACAGAGCCCAATATTTCATCCCCGCTCCAGGCCGTCAGCACCTTGCATCCAAACTGAGACGGAAAGATATTAATGAGTATTCCAGCGGAGCGTCCAGCTCCATCAGTGAGCTGGACGATGCCGACAAAGAGGTGCGTAATTTAACCGCAAAGTCTTTCCGGAGCTTGGCATGTCCATACTTCGATGCCATTAATCTTAGCACCTCTAGTGAGTCCTCGATGTCGGAATATGGGCTGAATAACTGGTCGGCTTATGTGGACTTGAAATATGGAAACATATCGCGGGGAAGGCAGCGAAGCGTAATTGAGACTTCGAGCACAACTTTGGAAATGAATAACACTGTGGACAGTAAGAGGCATGGTAAGTCTATTACCGGTATGAAAGCTCCACAAACCAAAATGTACGCACTGAACAAGAGAACAACTTCTCAACAATCATCCTCATCTAGCAAAAAGATCGAACTTAACAATCAGGATCAGCCAGAACAGCGTGGAGTCACGCTGAATTTCCGGTGTAATGTTGAAGCGCCTGAAGGCGCCAGACGTCCAAAATGCTCCAAGAAAGCACGATCCAATGAGCATACTGGGACTGTGTTGGCCCGGTCAGGGTGTGAGATGCAATATCTTCAAGATGGCACGGAGGGTACACACAAAAGAGCAGTTTTTGCATCAAGTCTATTGAAAAATGTGATTTCCAAAAAGATGCAGTTTGAACAGGAGCGCAAAATGGAGAGGGGTGAAATTTGTGACGCATTACCAGCACTCTCCCCGAGTTTTCAATTTAAAGAGCACGACGGAATGAAAGACGGGGGTCAAGGAAGAGGCTTACAAAGACAGACATCAGAATCGGGCTCAGGTTTTACTGTTAGTTCTGCTGAGGATCTATGCCTGGAAGGCAGCAGACCCAGCTCCTGTGAGCCTGCAGAGGAGCAGAAAAGCAACAAAGCAACAGATGATTCAGAAAAGGGGAAACACAAGCCTCCAAAAGCTTCACTCAGCCACAGTCAAAGCAGTGCATTTAATTCACTGAAAGAAGATGAGCCAGAACCCATAAAGGAGGCCGAACCCACATCTTTAACCGACACACAGACCATAACAAAGGGATTAGACACCAGCAGCATGCTGACAAAATTGCTGTTTGTCCCAAGCTGCCAGCTTCTTTCAAAAGAGAAGGATTGTACAGATGGCTTGGCAATCAGTGCACCTGTCGCAGGTGCACCTGCTGGCCCACAGAAATGTGAAAAAGAGTTAAAAACAGGCAACAATGGAAACATAGGCAAAGAAGAAAACGAGAAAGGGGGGAAAACCCCTGGGATAAAAATATGCCTGAGGAGTGTGAAGGAAAATAAAGGCTGTACACTGAATATCGCCAACCTGTTAACCCCTAAAATACGTTTGAACACTGTGAACACATTCAGGGCAGCAGGTGATGCCAAATGCCATGTGTTGTCTGCTTCAGATAAAATCCCAAACTTTACTGTTAGAGACATAAGAGACACCAAATGCAAGTTTCAAACACCAATATATCAAGTCAGAGATGTCCGCAAATTGGTAAAAAGTTCATATCGCTTTGTTTCATTGGATAATAGTGAGGGTAAATGTTCCACAGCAGCTGGAAAACTTGAGGTCACAAAGGCGCCGGTTAAGAATGTACTACCATCTCCTATTGTGATTAAGTGTCACTCTGTAAAAACAAATGTTAAACAACAGACAGCTGAGGCAGGCATCTCATCTGAAACATCTCAAACTGAAAATACACCATCACATTGCACAGCCAGTAGGGTGCCACTCGTTGCATCAAAGCAGCTACACCCTGACCAGTCAGATATTCAGCCAAATATTCAAACCAAACTGACAAAACAGAGGCAGGAAAAATTTGCATGTGAGACGTCTGAGAGGAGAAATGAGCCCAAAGTACCAAAACAGGCTGCATTAGAGAAGCTTAAAGCTGCAGTCAAAACAATGGAGCAGCTTTATGTGTTTGATAGAAACGAATGGAAGCGCAAAAGTCAAGCTCCACAACCAATCACAGACAGCCATGTGTTATCGCTTATTGCCAGTGAGGAGCAGGGAGCGGAGGAACTGGAGACAACAAACACTAACAGGGTTCCTCAGTCACAGGACGCTAAAGCAGCTCTGAATATCATACATGTTCCATATAACGATGACACGTTTAAAACACAATCACAGCAGAAAACGTTTAGTAACAAACGTGTGCTTCATTTTGGCAACAAGGCACGTGTCAGCATTAGCTCAGTTAGTGATCCTATTTCACAAAGCTCCGCGCTGCAAACATCATCGACTATGAAAAGCTCCAGGACACCGGTGGCTCCACTGTCGGTGAAAATAGAGCCCCCGAAAGACGGCCAGGTGGAGCAGGGAAAGGTCAAAATCATTCCCACTAATCCTACTGTCGCACAGGCCTGCTCAGACTCTGAGAACTATTTAACCATACCGGGGTATACGAATGAAATCAAACTCCTGAATCCAGATCCCGTTTCCAGGGAGGTGAGTTCAAATGTTAGCCAAATCAAAACAGGTGACAGGAAGACACCTGAGCAGAAAAGCTCTCCGTTAATGATGGAGTACCCAGCTTCAAGCATCTATCATCAAACACAGCAGCAGGTGTTGTGTTTCTCTCCATCTGTCCCGACTGTGTCCCCTATACCGTCTATTGGAGAGGCCGTAACACAGCGCAAGATGCTTTTGGACCCCACTACTGGACATTATTACCTGGTGAACACTCCTATACAGGCCACCACAAAGAGACTATTTGACCCTGAGACAGGCCAGTATGTGGACGTGCCCATGTCCCGTTCTCCTGTGGCACCTGTCACCCCTGTCACCCCTGTGCCACTCTCATTGTCCCCCATGGCCCTGAGCCCAGGAGCGTACGCCCCCACCTACATGATCTACCCAGGCTTCATCCCCTCGCCCACTCTGCCAGCCCAGGCGGTGTTGTGTCAGTCGCCGTGTCACTCTGCGGAGGCAGGTGGAGAAAAGGTAAAATACGCCAGAAGTCCTAAGCCGGACACGAATGCAACAGGCGCAGAGAGTGCGTATTACAGTGCAACAGGTGAGGCAATACATGGGCCACTGCAGCTTCCTGTTAGTTTGGGACATGTGACCTCCAGAGGAGGTGCAGCGAGCTCTGACAGGAAGCCAGTTATCAGCATCACAACGCAACAAGGTCCAAGAATCATCGCGCCACCTTCCTTCGACGGCACAACAATGAGCTTTGTAGTGGAGCATCGGTGACCATAGAAACATCTCATCATACATGTAAGTCAGCACCTATTCACATGTCCCCTCTACTCTGAATGTAAATGTCTTTTCATTTATTTACTATTGGAATACATTTGATCGAAAAATATCTAAAGACAATAGTTTTGAAATGTTGCATAAAGTTCAGTGTCAACTTTACTGAATCCATTAAAACCGTAAAGTTAAATTGCCTAGTTCTGTAAAGTACAGAAGGCCCGGAGAAAGTACTGAGTACATCAAAGTTGAAATGTTACTCTGTTTAAATATTTCTTCATGTAATGCTGCTGTATGTTTACTTTTATGGAAAACTACCAAAAACTTTTTAAAAAGCAGCCTCATTTGAAGACATCTCTGAATTAGTTGTGTAACCAGGAAGGTTCAGATGCGGCAGCCTGACTGTATTTCACTATTCATACTTAGCAAACCTATCCATCTTTCAAGAAAACCTTAATGAAACATCCTCCAGTCTGTGCCACAGCAGCATACAGGTAGCACTTATTTATATTCTTTCTTGTTCTTATTTATTTTATTCCTATTTAATAAGCATTGCTAGAGGGAGCCTAATATCACAACTGCTTCTCTGTAACTGTTGTGCATATGACAAATAAGGTTTTGAGTTGAACTGAAATAGGAACATTTCGGAATCAAAATAAATTCTTGTACAACCTTAACTCAACAGTCACCTACTAGTTTTTTCAGAGCTTTCATCTGCTTCTCACTGAACATCAGCAGAAAGTGAACCTCGAGCAGAAAATATTTTGTCAATCTAAAATAATCAAGTTAAATGCTATTTTAAGGAATAGAGAAAACAGCCACTGTCTAAGGTTAAAAAATAGAAAAACAGAATAAAAAAAACAAAATGTATCAATTGTCGTGAAGGTAAAACAAGGCCGCTTCTTTTGATTTCTCAAAAAATAGAATTTTTTTAGATCACAGGGACATACTCATGAGCTCAAAAAGCGACTCAGTTACAGTCATGAGTCGATAATCGTAATTAGTCACTTTCCACTCCTAAAAATAAATGATCCATGCCCTAAATTGGCAGTGAGATTATAGAGTTTGGCAGGGGCGGAGCCTGACGTTGTAAACATTGGGAGCTCAGCCAAAAACAAGGGGGGGGTCTGAGGGCATGCTCCCCCCGGGTAGATTTTTTTTCCCACTGAGATAAAATAATGCCCAAAAAATCTGTGTTTATCATTTGGGAAACACATGATAGTAATAATCATCCTTGAGAGCCTTCATCCTATTTTGTATCTAATTTTTCAGTAACTGTCGTCATCATCCTGGATGACAAATTTTCACTCCTGCCACTTAAAAAGAGGCAAAAACTATTGCTATTTTTATGTTACGTAACTTACATAGGTAGGGGAGGAATTTGGCGTAAACAGCATGACTAATCTTAAAACTAATCTTTTTTTGTCACACTATGCTGGAGTAAAGTTCACAGAATAAATGTTTAGCTAACAAATCTGCTAAATTCGCATCAAAATTCCATAATGATCTGTGCAGCTCAAATTGCAAATAAAGGATCCCATGTACTTAATTACATTAGATTTGTTAGGGAATAGCATAGTAGCAGCAGCAGTAGTAGTAGTGGTAGCAGAGAACAACCCCACTTTACAATGTTAGGGGGACATAGATGGCAATATTTCTCCAGTAATACCACTTTTGCTCCATTTATTTGCTGGTCCAGTCAGAGAGACTGAAGGGAAATTACACAAAATGTAAGGTATTTTAACACGCCCCTTCCTCTCCTCCCCTGGAGTTTAGTATTTTGAGGTTGCTGATGCTGAACCATATGCTCTCATTGTACAGCAGTGCAACACTCACATTGTCATTGAGTAAAGTTCCTGATTTACGGCATGAGTTTTTTTCTCACTTTTGGGTTGTAAATGTTGCTAAAGCCGCAGTCCATGTTGGCTGCTTCAGCAGTGGCATGTCAGTGTTAATAGACATGCAGTAGCTTCATGACAGGTAACCTGACTCCACTGGCCATGCTGGGTTTTTCAGCCTCAGCCCGGAGCAAGTCGGTTGAGTTCCATTTTCTCTGCATTACACATCGTCGGGCTATTTTGATAGTGTGCGAGACGAGTTTGTTTACATGGTTTATTCTCAGGGTTGGAAAGTGTCACAGGAAAGCATTCCAGTCAGTGAAACCATACAACCAGTTATTCTTATTCACTCACTGTCAGAAATGCTTAAATTACTCAGATTACATTACAGTTCATTAATGTGTGTGTTTGTTGTTCGTGACAATTGATGAAAGCTTCCCCCTGGCTGAATGAGTTGGAACAATCCATCTTGCATTATTATACTAACAAGGTACAAAAGAATAAGCTAAATATGTAGCTTAAAAGTTCAGTTCACATAAATAATGACAAACAAATGTTTCCAATGACCCTCATCTAGCAGACGGTTTCAGTTTTTTTGAAGGTTTTTTAAAACACAACAGTAGTAGTTGACAGTTTACAAGTTATTGCTGTCAATAGATTTATTTTGCATAATTCACGAGAAGCACAGCGATCTCTGTTGATTATTGAGTGGCCAGGAAATTGTTTCTCAAAAGACAAGCTGGAGTTTTTTTAATCCAATTCAACTGCAATTCAACTATACTTAAAATGTAGATATTAGCATGAGTATTAGTGTCAGAGATCTCAAAACCTCGGTAAATACAACCAAAAACGATGCGTGCACCGTGGTCACATCACAGACGTGTCAAGCTCATGTTGTCAGTCTAAGCTGTACTCTTTCAGGGTTAGTTTAACATCCATCAGCTTCAGCTTGACCTTTAGCTGCACTGTGTCAACCAGACAGGGGTTAGCAGGTAATGCGTAGCACATTTACATATATCACATTTTCAAAGCTTGCTTCAGTATTTCAGTCTAATGCAGTTTTCACTTGTTTATAATATATTACTACTACACCATATAATGCACATTTGATGTATATAAATGTACAACTGAAAACTCAAAATCTCTTTTTCAACTTGTTTAGCTGTCAAAAGTAGACTAAATAAATGAAATGCTAACATTATGTTTAAATATCCATTCACACTTATTTAACATTTAGTATTCCACCACAGTGTCTGTGTGTAATCTCCAGTTCCAGGTCAAACTCAAAAGGCCTTTGTCACAGCCAACATTTCGACTTGTCATAGGAGGAAAAGCACACGTGTATCGAGTGACAGTAATTAGGTGTCCTGCATGCATAGTGCAACTGAAAAACCAATGTGAAGTAAAAACCATTATGAATCTTATAAATTACACCTGTGGTTTTCTCTGTATGACATGAGTTAATATTAAAATATGCACCATTATCAAATACATCTACTTTACATACAAAATGAAAACACGTGACATTATTTTAGAGACAATGAGAAGGAAAATAGATTGAAATATAAGTGCAGTGGAGACAATGAATCAATCAAATGGACCAAAGTCCCCAAATCATAAAAAAGTATTTTATTTAGAGGTTAGCTCCATGTCTGCAGTGTGAAGTGTTGATAATGTTGTTTTGCTATTGTCTCACTCTAGGCAGTACTAGTTGACTGCTTAAGGCAGCAACAAAGTCTTCTGTGTTTATTTAAACAAACAAATTAGATTTGAAAATAAGAATAATGTGCTCAGTTCTCCTGGCTCTGAATTTGCTATCCAGTAGACATTTTTGGGAAGGTCTGACAGGAGACAACTTCAATAATCCATCCAGTTGGAGATAAAGGCATAAATTAGGCCCGAATTACAGAAAGAAAGAAAGAAAGAAAGAAATGCAAAAATATAGAAATACATTTAAAAACACATGTAATTCCCTTTTTAGTCACACTGTTGAATGCTGTAGCCCAAAAAAACTTAGAATTAATTCTAGTTTCTCATACACTCATATAGACACTTACAACTAGTCACAGTCCATTCTCAGCGAATGTGTCAGAGCAATAATACAACTGCATGAGCATGAGGGATACATGTCAGCTGGGTGCGTGGCAGGCAGGGGCCTTGCATGGGGTTGAGTAGGGGTGTGAAGAGGAACACAGGGTGTGTGTGTCTGTGTGTGTGTGTGTGTGTGTGTGTGTGTGTGTGTGTGTGTGTGTAACGGGTGGTGGTGGAGGAGGTGTGTGCTGCAGAGAGACACGGGGGCATGGCTCAGATAGTGATGCAGGAGGAAAAGGTCAGGCAATGTAAAGTATTTGTTGTGCTGATGCAGAGGACAGCTGCTCGGAGAGATCAGATGCTGCTGCAGCTCCAGCTTGGAAGTGAGTCTGCAGGGCTGAGATGGGGTCAACTTTTTATAGCCCCCTCCCCCTCTGCTTTTTCCTAAACGGGGAGAAGGAGGTGGAGAGCGCTGCTGACCTCCAGCACTCCTACATAAACAAATTGAGTAATGTGCCCTCTGCAGTGATTCGGCTGAATCTGGTCAGCTGGTTCAGAACCAGGAACTACAGGCAGAGAAGTCTTAAGGCTTAATGTCTTAAGACAACAACTTCTATCATAAACTTGACTAATACAAAATAATTCTTTCTCCTCAATTATCTCACCTTATTTTCATAGCCTCCATCAGAGTTTAACTCCCATTCTATGTCTTCTTTTCCATCACTCTAGACATCTCCACTGAAGAATGTGCCTTCAATCATCCCAAGTGCAGTTTTCTACCCTCCCAACTGATCTACTCCCCAAGACAAACTTCCACCAACAACCAACCATTTGTATCCCCATTCTGTTGTGTTGTTTATCCTTGCAGCAGACCTTACTGTAATATGTATGCATTGCAGCACTTTGTAGGGTAAACGCATTAAGCCACATCCTCTGGCTGATGTTCTGCCATGTTGCTATATGAATCTGCTTTGTAATACTTTCCATTCAGCTGCTGTCTTGAACTTTTAAAATGCTGGTTGGGCCCTGCAACATGTCTATTCAAAAGGAAACAAGGCAGGTCTTCTATTACAGTTCAGTGTTATTGGCCAAGCCACAATTGTATTATCAAGAATCTAATGTTACCATGTCTTTAACTTTGTAATTTTTGATTGGCAAAAAACACATCTTTCTTTTATAAATGAAAAGTTGACCTCTTAAGCAATAAATCACAACCTTGGTGAATCCAATACACAATCCGTAATGTCAGCAAACTTGATAGTATTGTGTAACTGACATCACCGAGTCAGTTTGCTGACATTATCTCTCCAGTTGTGCTGCTGAAACACTTTAGAATGTCACAGATAAAAGTTTCAATAGGTTTACCGCAAACAAAATAAAATTGCTGCCAGTTTATCCCAATGAGGTACTACAACCAAAACATCCCTTTAATCCCCAGAAGTATTTTCCGCATAATCCGCATTGTCAAGAGGCATCGTAAAAATCTAATTTCCCATAGATTGTATTTCCTGCATACAAAGCTGCAAAGCTTGGGAAATGCACAGGACTGCACGGAGTTGTGGCAAAAAGGTTGACTGTGCTTGCTGTGGAGGCAACCAAAGAACCCGCCTGTGGGGAAGGAGGCCACAAACTGAAAAAGTTTGTGGCCTCAGGAGGACTGGAGCTTCTGTGGTCACAAATGCATAAACTGTGTGGGAGGAGTTTGAGGAGGCCATGAGAATGACTTTTGATAAGCCTCAAAGAGATTGTGCCAAATTGTCAGATGACTCTAGAGGGCGAGGCAGGGCTTAGCTCAGGCTGTTTTCAGCATGGGATTAGAAATGATGACCCAGACTAACAATATTGTTGGACAGTTGAAGGAACCCTTTGAGGAACTCCCTAACTCCCTAACATCCTCCATAAAGGACGTGTAGCTGGAAAGCTCGGCGAAAGCCTTGTCCATTTCACTAGCGAAGGTCACTGAGATAGTCAAAAAGCTCCCCAGTAGCAAGGCGCCGGGGGTGGATGATATTGGCACTGAGACACAGAAGGTTCTGGTTATTGTGAGGCTGACTTGATCAACATGCCTCCTCAATATCATGTGAGGATCAGGGCCTGTGGACTGGCAGACCAGGATGGTGGTTCCCATTTTTTAAAAAAGGAGACTGCAGGATGTGTTCCAACGATTAGGCTATCACAATGCTCAAACATCCTGGGAAAACTTATACCAGGGCACTGGAAAGATGGCTCCAACTTATTGTCAAACCTCCAGGAGGAACAATGCTGAATCCATCCTATTGTGAAACATTGGACCTGCTCTTTACCCTTGCAAAAATATGGGGGGGGGTCAAGGGAGTTTGCCCATCTAATCTGCTTGTGGCCACTGTTGATCAAAAGTTACACAGTCTTGTTTTAATTTACACAATGAGACAATTACTCACGGTGAATACAACCTTCAATATGTTACACTGTTTTCTGAGGACAGGGACCATTTGTCTGCACTGAATTATTAAAATGCAGATTAAGGGGTAGTGTTGAATCACCCCAAATTCAGCCAGATGATTAAAATAAATTAAAATTATTGTATTTCAAAATAACATGTTTTTAAAGATGTCCCAAGTAAATGGTAAATATATGATATTGCTATGTATCATATCACTATTCTCCAACACTAATGTTCCACATTCACAATAACATTTCCATCTTTTTTAGGATGTTCTACTTGATGTATGTGTAACCTCTGTGCTATGACTCACAACATGCTGCTAATACCTGCACAACTGATATGCTGTATAAAGTAGTGTATGTTTATATTTTAATAGCACGCTCCTTGTGTGTTAGAGTGAGAAAAAAAAGAAAAACACACTAAGTGTGCGGCTCACATGAAGTGGAGCTGGGACTATGGTTTAACTGTGTACTGAAATCAGTATTTCCTAAGTAGTGTTGGGCCTAAATGAGTCAGATCCAGCTGAGAAATTTACAGGATAACTTCCTCTGTGTTGGTTTATTTGACACTTTTGTGTGTAATGAGATGGGAGTTAGTGCGTGTGCATCTGAATGTGTCCGTGTTCATGGCAGTGAGTTATGTACGGCATTTCAGTATTCTGTTAGCGTACAACAAGGAGTCGTGTTACTTCAGACTGTAGACGGCAGCGTACAGACTCCATGTGTTAGGTGTGTCGCCACACTTTACACACAGCAATGTTTCTCTTTTTTAACCCCCTTGACCTCTTAGTTTATATGTGTATGAATTTGAGTTTTCATTAAAGGGACATATCAACTAATGACATCCATACGATTGCTTTCTGTGGAGAGACGTTCTGAGGTCATGTTTTGATCTGTTTTGTTTCCTTTTGAATAAATACAGTGGGGTCATCATAGGTCATTATGCTATACTTGACTCAGTTATACCAGCATCCCATGCAGAACTAAATGTAGATTGCTATTTTTTAGCATGTTTCAAATCCAAACACACATTAAAGGTATTTGGAGCTGCTGGTCAGTCTATGTACCTTAATTCTGTAAAATAAATGTTATTAAGCCTCTGTGACAACAGACTTTATATACATTGCTCTATGAGTTGACTTCATTTCAAGTGATATAAATTCATGTAGTAATTTGAAAGACTTGTTGCTGACTGTGCAGTAGATTGGACATGGTTTGCTCTTTAGAGCAAGTTGACGTTAGAACATTTAATGCATTTGAGGTGAAATTTAACTTAAATTTGTACATTTAATTCAAAAAAATTATTAATGATAAACTATAATATTCTTTTAATAATTATAATGTTTAAACACGTGTCCCTGAGGCAGTTGAGTGCAATGCAAACTGTTATTTATTTATAAATTGTGAATCAGAAGTTTTGCCAAGTATCCAAAAGAAAAATAAACAGGTACTATGAACAAGTTAGAATTGAGAGATATGTTTTTTTACTTCCTACCAGAGAGTTTTAAAAGTATGTTTTTGATCAGCATAATAAATAAAGACCTATAGATAAATAAGATCATTTGTAAGCTCCAGTAAACCAACTTTTCTAATGTTGTCATAAACATAAAACTCTAAAAACAAAAAAACTTTTCTCCCACATGAATTTCACTAGTTTCTTGTAAGACCTTTATCTGTGAATAATAATGTACTTCATGCACTTGGATTGTCACTCTTTTGTCACCACACTGACAGCAACAAATGACTGTAAACATCAGTAATAGCAGGAGTACTATATGGACTTGTTAATTGTAAAATGAAACATTGTACATTTTTTCGGATGAATTTTTCCCAAATTTGCACTGTAACATTGAATGATATGTTTTATTTAAAACATTCTTCCACATGTCCCTCATCAAACCTGCTGACTTTGAGGTTAAATGTTTGAAACTGATTGTATCAAAGCTTGCTTTTGTATGAGGAAAGAGGGTAAACGGAAAGTGAGATGGTCTGAGATATGTGTATTTATGAATGTTCAAAGAAAAAGGGCACATGTTTGAATGAAATGCCTTAATGGCTGTACTGTCATACATATTGCATGCCTGATGTCAACTGTGACTGCCCTAGAAAAAGACAGAGGTCAGGATGACAGCGGAGAGATGCCTTGAAAGGAGAAGTGAGTTCTACGTTTGCACTTATGAGCTTGAATGTAATAAAATGATGAATGAGTGTAATGTAGACTGTAAAGCCTTCATATGTTCGCAATAAATTCAAAATCAAGCTACTGAACATGTATGTGTCCATGCATTTAAATCACGTTAAGGTCTAGTTGTGTTTGTATGAAATACATTTTTATGTTGTCTGTATCTTAAGTGACTCCTGAAAAACCCACGTGAACTCTTTGTTCGAGTGAGAAATTAATAAGTAAACATATTCAAATCACTCTTTTGGAATGTGTAATTCCTCAGATACAGGGATGTGAGAATAGTAAAGAATATTTTAAGAAAGGGGTATACTGTCTAATGACTCTAACAGTTTATACATTGTAACTAATGGCTTGAACTAAAGTTGTTTTTTTTACAACCTGGCAACCCAAAATTTGTTCTTATTAATGGGCTATAATAGGTCTTTGACATATTAATAAATGCTTAATTAATCATTAATACTTGCAACTTGCAAATGATAAACTTGTGAATTGTAAATCTATAAGAAAGCGGTACCTAAAAAGTAAATAGATTGAATTTACCAGAAGAAAAATACATTTAATTGAAAACAATGATCTTGTTCTTCAGTAAAACTAAAAATCTGGCTGCAATAACAGGTTAAAATAACAAACTTCCTCAAATATGTTTGTGTATTTAGACTTTTTGATAGATTGTTTCTGAACATTAGTAGCAACTTTTATTCTGCGATATTCTGTGTTGACTATTACACTTTATTTCCCTCTATGTACCTGACCTGATTATCGTGACTTTCTGCAGTTTCATACTTGCCTGATAAATTCCCTCTATTAAAAACCTAGAGAAAAAATAAATGACAAGGGTCAAAGAGAATCAATCAGATTTATGCCAACAGAAGAGCACTTTTAGCATCCGTCAGCATGTAAAGTTAGCTTTCTGGTGACACTGAAACATCACCCGGGCCGAGGCTTAAGTTTAACCTGACAGTTTGCTGCTGTGTTTACTTGGTTGCCGTGGATGCAGTGAGACTGACAGACACTGGTTTACCCCCAGCTGCTCTCGGTGGTTTCTAAAGAATCTACTTAAGGCCCAGTTGTTGTGTTTGGATGCCAGGAGGGGCTCTGATGTCACAGCTGTGACACAAGAAAAGTCAAGATTTATTGCCTCACCTGGATCAACAAGTGTGTGTTTTAGGCCACGAAGGTACATTTGTCTCCTTGGACACAACTATTAATACAAATGAGGGCTATTGGTTTAGTGCAGCTAACAAAAATACATGCTAGGGGAAGTTATCTACAAATTTGCCATAACCGATACAGGTCCAAATTTGGAGTTTGCCATCTTGAAATGATCTTATTGCCAGAAACGACCAAGATGCAAGATCTTCACTAGGATCACTGGTTTCTAAGAGGCTACAGCTACACCAGGGACTCTGAGAGACTGTACTTAGCGCAGCAATGATTTTAGCTAAATGTAATGTCAGCACGCTAACACAATGGCAGTCCAATCATGCTGACGTTCAGCAGATGTAATCTTTACAATGTTCATCATCTTAGCTTAGCGTGTTAGCTTGCTAGCATTTGCTAATTAGCTCAAAGTATTGGGGAACTGTAGGCTACTTTGTGGTGATTTACTTAATCCTTAATACATAAGGGGATGTGTGCTATTGAAGTACACAAACTCACACTAAACATTGAGGCCATGTGTTATGGTGTTATGCTTAATTGCATAAAATATTTTTGTGTTTAATCAATTGTCCACAATCTAACTGACACACAATAACCAAGGGGAAAATAGGATAGTATCCCAGAACAGGAGTAGGCCTACCATTTGGTCTCCGTGTTGGGCTATGAGCAGAATTTTATGAATATGCCAAGATTAGTTGCCATGACCTCTGTAACTGTTAGTACTTACATAAATTTGGGGGACTTACAAAAAAAAAAAAAAAAAAAAAGTCAGCAGACAGAGTTATCCTGACTTAATGGTGTCTTTTAAATGCAATGCTCTGATTTTGTAACCCAGGCTGTCTATTGTAAATTTTTAGTCAATTGAGCATCTAACTCAGACTTTATACAACTGTTTTCACAGGCTAATGACAAATAAACTGACTGACTAGTGCAATTGGTGGACTGCCCCTTTAAAGGCATAATGAACAAAGTCCCACAGCGTAATTTTACCCTTGGGGCCCCCAGAGGGTTGTTCCAGTCATGCATATTGCACAATTACACATACACTTTGTTTTTGCTGCATCTAAATCCATAAGCCAAGTCAAAAGGCAAAGTGTTTCCACTATACATTTATTGTCAGCCAATTACAAATCTAACAAATTGATCCCCAAGTATGAAAACACAACTTGAAAGTAGCTCAAACGTCTTAAAACTACCAGAATGTTTTCAGACAAACAAGAGCAATTACAGCCAAGTACAAAAAATATTTTCCAGTGTTAATAGATTCACTATTGGAGATTCAATTTCCCCCTCAAATCTTGCAAGTACAAAGTAAAGATGAAGCTCACACATTGTCTCTGAAGAAAAAATTAAATAGTACCATCATGATTATAAACATGGAATAAATTCATATTACTCTGCTAAATAAGTTATTTCAGGTGATTGACACAAAACAATAAATTGCTCCTCAGTAAACATATTTAATTAAAAAAACAAAAGGAATGTTGACAGAGAGGAGCATTTCTATTCATGCGGGAGAGTCAATACACTGTCTACAGTGTGATATTTACATGTACATTTATACTGTATCTGGGTTGGGATAATTACAGTGGTATTATACCCATCAAATAACACATGCATCCTGTGTGTGCCCATCATAAATACATTTTTGAGGAAATCCATAAAAAGACAATGCAAGAATTCCTGATTTCAAACAAAATGTCTTAAATACTCAGGAATGTAAACATTGCATGTGTTTTATTAAAAAAATAAAAACATTCACCCCTCTTCTCTCTTGCATGCTTTCGCTGCATGAGGCTGAGGTGTGATAGCTGTCCCTGAATGCAATAAGTGACAATATTTGCCCCTGGATAGTTCATGGTATCTCTACCAACTGGAGTCAAAAACCTTCTTGCACATGTTTGAGTTCTCCTGGTGAAGAGGGAATTCAGAACCGGGGACGAGCTGCTTCTTGCCCTTATGCGACATAATGCTCTTCCCTGATGACAGGCTCTCGTATTTGGTCAGGTATTCACTGAAAGCAGAACATCAAGAATAGACCATGATGTTTTTGCATGAGATGATGCAACAATAAAATCAGAAAGAGTATTGACATTTTCTGTGGAAAGAGGGGTCTCACAATACCTGACGGGGAAGGTACTCTTGTCCATCTGCATGCACACCAGGAAGGGATATTCGGAAAACTGGACAGTGGTGATAAAGTCCAAAGATGCTTCTGTTTCAAACCTGACCTCCACACCCGCTCTCATGAAGTCCATGTCCACTGTAACGTTGCCAGTGACCACAAACGCTCCGCTGAAACCATAAAGGAAAAAAATGTGTGAATCTGACAAAGAACAGTAAGTGAAACTCATGCATTCCCTTTGTTTCCTTAAAGTTCATATCATTTACATGGTAAATGTCTAAAAAAAAAAAAACAGTAATTTAATAGAGTTAAACATGTGATATTAAACGTGAAATATGTGATATATTTAAAAATCACATGTGTGAGAGAGGTCATATAGATTTATTACATGGGAACATTTGTGAATATTTCACATATAAAATAACATACAACTTGTTTGTGAAATATGTTTGCCTTGTAAGGCCCAGGAGGGGTAAAGACTACTTATTTTTTTATTGTAAGAGTCCATTATTTTCTATATCGGGAGAATTTAGAGTGTAGTGTTGTTTGTCACACCACAGTCACACACAAAATGAATACAATTAATTCTGTTTTTAATCTTTTTTCAACCAGCAGTTACCACTTAACCAGAAAGCATAATGTGAAACAAAACAATCAGAAACGATTATTATATTTAGCCTTGTCCCAACTACATTGGAATGGTCCTTGTTTGTGACCATTTAGTTGTATCATACAGTTTGTATCAGCAGCTTAAAAGCACAGTAGAGCTCAGACACTAACAAGTAGAGTTTGACTACCATATAACAACTTCCTTTCATGTTTCAAATCAATGTGTGTGCAGTTTACCAGTTGAAGATCCAACCTCTGTAACGAGGCCAGTGGAGACATGCCTTGGCAAAGATGCCAATGTGGTTTGTTCTGCATCTATAGATAGCCTATCAGTCTATTATCAGAGTGGAAGAGGTACAACTATGCTGATCCATTCACCTGCCTCTGCCCTTCCCCTGCACACACTGGTCAAATCATCCTGAAGTTCAAATGCAAGATGTGGCCCCAAACAGTGGTCAAAAAGTGGGACTGAAATCCCAAAACAAAAATAAATGTTTGTTCCACAGGATGCTGTTCCAAAAAAAAAAAAAAAAAAAGCTATCAATTCCACAGCATCGTGTGTTTTCTGTCCGTTGATATAGATCCACATTACAATTACCTTCTTTTCCATCCTTTCTAAGTTATTCTTAGTGGAAATTTACATATAATCACAATCACTAAAGCAAGTCAGATTATGAGGCACGGTATTGTTTACATTTTGATGCAGTACAAAACCCAAGTTTAAGTCCGGCATCTTTTTGATATTTTAATTTGCTATATTAAGTAAAAATATATTTTTGTGCAAAGAACTTTTTCCATTTAGCTAAATACTCTTAAAATGCATTAAAAATCAGAGAATATCGGACCAAAAAACAAGTGAACAGGATGAAGAATCTGATCAAACACAGTTTGGTTTGGGTTCTTAAAAAACACTTAAGTGTAAATGCAGAACTGTCTGTCTACTGAGGACAATCACACCCTATTTGAATGTTAAAAATCAGTGGCGTTGCCCTTTAAACCCCATTTCATCACCAGATGCCGCGAGCTAAACAATACCGGCACGAAGATGTGCGTTGACAGTAATGTTTTAAAATAGAGAACCAGACAGAGCTGACGTCATATCCACACAGACCTAGAAATGAGACAGACATGAAGCACAATGCTGGAGCATGTCCAACAGGCCGGTGGAACAAATGAATCAGACAACACTTATAGACCATCTAAAGTTCACATGAATCCAACATCAATAGAAACCTATTTGCAGTGCGGTGACACGGCTCAACCTTAACCTCTAAAACAACTTTCCTTTCAGTCAGGAAGGTTGTTTCTACGAGTTGTCCGTCTATCACAAAGGCCTTTGCCCTGCAAGTGTGTTACATCATACTGTATGTACAGTACTTCACAAACACTCAGTGAGATCATTTATCACTCCAAGGCTGTGACCCTATAAACAGGGTAACACAACTGTATTTAAAAGCTTTGCTGATGCCCCGATACGGCTACAGGACAAAAACACCTTCAACAGTAGTTTTATCATTTTGTCTCTGGACTGTACCGGTTGTTGACGCTGGTCTTGGACTCCCTGTACCACAGGCTGATCTCCATGCCTCCAGAGATGTCAATGGCTAACCCTCCTTGGAACTCTGCACTCGCCTTCAGACCGGACTGCAGCTGAATCACCTGGAGGGCCGAAGATGAGTGGGGGAAAACAAAACAAAAATGGAAGACTCCATTATGTCTGACTCCACTGATAATTGAGATTCCTTTTATCATTGATCATGTGTTAAAAGGACTGTAAAAGCAATTTCAAAGTAGCCACAGCATAAGGGATAAGAAATGCCACACCCTTGCTGTACACATTTAGACCCTGTTCATTCATCATCACTAAGCTCAATAACTGAAGTAATGACCTGGATTCGTTCACTATCTGTGCCTGTAACGGTCAGTGCCTACCGAAATGAACCTGTCTTGCTGTTTAATTTACTGTACATGTTTATAAAACTAAAAAGGTTAGAGTAAGAAAGAAAGAAATCAGTGTTGACTGCTGGGATGCAAACCTCACCACAAAGTCTATGCATTGTATGCCCGATCATCCACATGTTCTCTTTTTGTGGCAAAATAACGTGGCAACATCATTTCTGACAAGAAACTGAACATAAGTCTTTTCAAGCTCATTTAAAATATGACCAATTTCCTCGAGATGACCTCAACCAAGCTGAAAAACAACCAGCAAATCTGACTTTGTTTTGAAGCGGAATTAAGATTTGGGGGAGCATTGCACAGCTCAACAATGGGCATCAAATACCAGCCGTTATGGTCATTTACCAAGGGCGTAGACTCAACTAGCTACCCGTCACTACCGGTTGCATGGATGACTACATTCAGTATGGTTATGAACAAGAGTGTAATTCAGTAAACTTGAAACACAGATCGAGTTCAACTACTACATTCAGGTCTGGTGCAAATGGGGCATTGATGTGGTACACAGTTGTAGCTGCTTACCTCAGAATGATCAGTCAGCAGGATGAGACCCTTCACGACATTCATCGGCTCCCCGGACATGGAGAACATTTTGGACATGAGGTCACTGTAACCCTTGAAGAAGGTGACGGGCCGCAGCTGCACGTCGAACAACAGAGCCGACATCCCAGCGAACGACTCCAGGTCCTTCTCTCCCTCATCGGGTGTGGCAGCAATCAGTGACTCCAAACCTTGGGCCTCAATTGCCACCTGGAAGAATATCCAAATCAGTCTAAATTAGCAGAAGGAGATAACTGGTTGCTCTGTGTACTCAAATGTAGATCAAAATGCTTTAAGTGCTCTTCGAAAACGGGGTAAGAAATCAGGACGAACATGAAGGCAATCCAGCGTTAAATTCCCTGAAGAAGACCTACAGGGGTCAAAATGTTTGCTCTTTTAATCATTTGGTCATTGTAATAATGGCTATCAAATAATTCCTTCTCTGTTGGTCTTTGATTTCGGAGTTCCTGGATCGCTTTCTTGTTTATCTGTTCTCGAAATTTGATTTTTTTTTTTTTCTTCTCCGACATTTCACATACTCTACATGAACATTTAATATATTTCATCAGAAAAGGAAAGACAAGAGTACGTGTGTATATATATAGAATTATTTTACATACTAAAAACATTGCATGCATATATTCAAAATTCCTGTTCCTGCAACAGGGTTCCTGCATTCAGGTAATTATTTAATTTCCTTTACAAGGTTTCCTTACCTGTAGACCATGTAGCATCGCTCCTTTACTAGCACCATAAATATTCATGTTGCTTCTCCTCAGGATCCCAGAGCCTGAATACAGGATGTCCAAACTGTATGTGGAGGTCACATCAGCAGATCCTGAAGGAAGAGGATTTGAAAGTGCTAAGTCAGCATGAACGAACCTGTTGTAATGTTAGCCTCAAAATGATGAGTTTTAAGGAGCAATATCCAGCTTAAATGTGCAACCACCCATTAGGTCAATATGTAACTTGGTTGACTTGTACAATTTTATACTGCACTACTTTGCAGTTTAATTTTATTAGAATCTTTTTAAATGTTACAATGTTGTATTGAGTATTTTTTTTTTAGGCTTAGAGATGAGGGTCGATTACTTACTTGCCATAAATCCTGAGAATGCAGATGACGACCCAACTTTTGCAAAACGGTCGTAGTTATGAGAAACCATGTCCTTCATAGCTTGTTGTAAAATTTTGCTAAAAAATGAAGAAAAAATAAATATTATTTCATAAATGGCCGCAATATGCATTGATAAAACACACAAAACGCTTTTTTTTTGTTTGGATTCAGCTCAGAAGCCTTTTTAAAAAAGATTTAATTTTCATTGTTGGTCCATTGGATCACCCATTACACACCTGGCTGGCATCTGGAAGTGGATGATGTCCTGGATCTTGGACAGCATGTACTTGTTCATTTCATGAGGTAGGTTTCCAACAGACAGAAGCAGATTCTTGACCTCCATGTATGAAGGGTTGCTACTGAGGATGACGTCGGCAGCGGCAGCTCTCACGTTTTTCTCATAGATCCGTCGATTCTGGTGGTAAACTCTGCCGACTGTCCGCTTCACCTACAAATGAGATTAAATGCTGGGTTTCAGTTTCTGTTGTATGCTAATCAATTCCACATAACACTCATAAACAACAGAAGTGGTATGTACATTATGTCTCACCTCATCAGTCATGAGATGGACATCGTATCTCTGCAGGGCAGTGAGGGCGATGGTGCTGTAAGCTCCCACTTCTGACTCTGCATATTTGGTGAAGATGGGGATGGCCTCGGGCAGCAGAGAGTTCTTTAGAGCCAGAAGATACATCTGGACCTCGGACTCTACCTGCGCGCTGCCAGCACCGTCTAAAATCAGCTTCTTCACCTGCACCACTGTCTGAGAGGTAAATACACCGCAGAAGATCATCAGTCAGCTCTGGGATTCATTCAAATTTGGTTCGTTGTTTAGCTTGACGTGTTTTACGTTGTCATTTAGTATCTTCTTGTAAGCTCACCGGTAAGTTGCACCCTCCTTTCTGACACAGTCGATGGACCAGGGCTCCCATAATGATCACCACTGACTCTTTAATGTCTGAGCTGCCAATCTTTCCCTTTGAAATATCCTGAAAAGGAAACAATTCTCATAAAACTTCACAAAAGTATAATATGACTTGGTTTTCAAAACTTTCTCAGGACTACATTTTTAAGACTTATCATTTTAAATATTACATTTTTCATGTTTCTCTTCACTGATGACGGCAGAACTTATTGTTTCCTTTGATAAGCAAGAAAAGGTGCCAATTCTGTTATTGGAAACATGATGCTCACCAGCAGAACCTGGAGCATTCTCTCGTTGGGATGTGAAGCAAAGCCACATGCGTAGAGAAACCTCTCCTGCAGCACCAAACCTTTGGCATCGGTGAAGTTAAGGAATTCCAACATGGCATCCAGAGATGCAATGGTCTGGGAGGAGGTCACAGCATCCACCGCCTGAGGTCTGAGCAGGAAGAAATTAAACACGTCGATGGTAAGTTGATAAAGTCAGACTAAATCAAAGAAACAGCCGAGTGATGGAGTCAGTAAGCAAATTAAGACGTAAGAGAGAAGGAGGAGCCTGTTTACAGAGATGTCTTGCTGGCACTCTTCAGCACTTTGAGGATCTCGTCCTTGGACGCCTTCCTAATGCTCTGGATGAGGGCCAGGAAGCTGCGAGGAGCCGTGGCTTTGGACAGGCTCGCTGGCTCCAGCAGCTTCTGTTGAGTCTGCCAATGCTCAAAAAGCTAAGAGGGAGAACACAGGGGAGAGGGGATTAGAAGAGAGATCACCTTCAGTCAGTAATTACCTTACAAAAAACTACAGTAACCATTTACTAATACATTGTTATTCAGGAGTTGTTCTGTAATAATGACTCGAACAACCCAGAACGTCATACTCTGAGGAAGGTCTGTAGGCACCAATGTGTTCGTTGTTCTGACTAAATGAAAACATTGTGTGAGGATCTTATTGCAACTGTATAAGAAATACTGGATGTTCAAGTGCTTTTCCTGTCCTGCCTCCTAGCAATAATGACTTGCTCAAGTTCATGAATACAAGTAAATAACATCATTTGTTTATTGAACTGGTTACCAAGACATTATAGTATACTCAAACTCAAAATGAAGAGGAGGCCCTGGAGCTGTGGCCTCATAAATATATTAATAGCACCAGCTGGTCATTTTTACAATAAGAAATGGGCCACAATAATAGGAACTTGAAAATAGAACAAACAATAATTCCAGTTTGTTACAACTTCAGTTGTATTTTCTTAGTTTGGGTCATTGTTCCTGTCATAAGTCTCAACATTGCTAATGAATGTTATCTGGACAATGCAATGACATCGCATAGGGTTAGAAACAAAAGCAGTCAGATGATCATATGGGTTTCAAACAAACCCCAGTCTTGTAAAACTTAGTAGGAAGCTCTGTAATGCTGTAGCAAATGCTAACAATAGCAACAATGAGAGTGCAAACATGGTCATGTGTAGCAGTTATAATAATTAACATGTTCACCATCCTAGTTTAGCATGTTAGAATGCTAACATTAGCTAATTAGCACTAAAAGTAAAGCTGAATAAACACCTGAAAAATGACATTTTTCATCAAACACCAAAATAAAAAAAAGGACAAATTGAAAATTGACCTGCTGATGGCACTAGTGAAAAAGTCAAAGAATCACAAAAGTTAATAAGGATTTATCCTCAGCGTGGCATGAAATTCTGCACCAATGTCATGGCAATGAATCCAATATTTGTCGTGACATTTCACACAAAACCACAAATTTCAACCTCATGGTGGCTCTAGAGGATAATGCGTTCAAATGCAGCCTCTGGAGGCCAGGAATGTCTATCCAAAATGGCAATCTATTCAACACTGATATTTGAGTCTGAATCAAAGCGTCGGGCCGACATTGCCATCCATGGAGCTGTGTTTGTGTAAGTAAATATTTGTTGTGTGAAAGTGTACAGGTACTCACTGATGGACAGCCCTTGCACTTAGATTTGACCTTTTCTGCAATGATACCAACAGCTGCCAGTTTGGCATCGATTGACTTGACAACCCCAGCCACATCTTTCCCAGCAGCCTCCAGCGGTCCAGCCTCTGTCCCTACCAATGTGAAAATTTGCCTGGGAAGCAACAAATTACATTTTTTAAATGTTCCTGCATTTGAAATGGCTGTTGACATCAATTCTTTGTAGAGGCATTTACCTGGACAGGACTTTAGCTCCAGCAGATCTGCGGGTATTAACAGCCAGCGAGTGCGTTTCTTCAGCCACAGCCGAGCGGATGAAACCATCTTCAAGTGTAAACGTTGTAATGGAACTGGACTTCCTGCTCACACCCAACACCTGAAGGGGGACATATCGAGGCGGAATTTATTCGTGATTCTATATCGTTTGTATTTCAACACGGTGATCCGGTTTGGATGCTGACATACCTGACTGTGTGTGGTGAATCCGGTCTCCACGGTCTTACACGCCTCCAGGTTCTTGGTTCTCGTCACTTGACCTTTTACTGCCCTGTACTCGATCGTGCACCTTCCAGACACGTCATTCTATTCCCAGACAATAAGTTTGTTCACATTAGCGACATGCAATGAAATAAGAAACACATGAATAGATGGGATGGGAGCATTATCGTGTTGTTTACCTCTATAACCTTCCCAGTGTTGAGCTGTACTTGCAGTAAGCTGGCCAGCCCTCTTTTTAGGTTCTTGATGGTTGCAGGTTCGGCCCGGTAGGAATAAAATGCTTTTGCCTGGAAAGAAAGCAATACATTACAAACAGAGTGTTATGCTTTTGAACAATAGATACAAAGGCATTTTGTCAAGCAGATAAAGAGGGAAGTGACCCACAGCGCTGTATATGCTACACCTCACAAAGGCTTTCAGGGTGTCAGTTTTCCATTGCACACTTGTGTATAGAAATGCCTGCTCGTGACATCAGCGACTATTTACATTACATGCAGAAATAAGATATTCTTTTAAGTGCAGATCAAAAACAAGGCCAGGATACTTTGTTGTTAGCACTTTAAAAAAGAAGTTCTATCTCAACCTCTAATTATACTCTGAATGCACATCGGTACTCAACACTGACCAGCATGAAAGGCGAGTCATTCTTATGTTTGCCTATGTTGCTGATATCATATTAAAATAATGGAACCAAAGCTCAGTTAAATGGGCTTCGTTAATCTTGGGAAATATCATATCACATCACACAGTTCAGTTTTCCAGTGAGGGTTCAGCTCGGCTCAATAATGGACTCCGTGTCCCGCTCATGAGTGGAGAAAGCAGTCTAATACATCATCCTACAGTCTCTCCTATACAGCATGTTATTTATTTGTGGCGCTCGACCACAATATCAGCTAGGACCAACATAAATAGACTGTCCACTGCTACTCTGTGGAACTTTCCTGTCCAAGTCTGCCATCAGTATAAACAAAACAACAAGACAGACACTGATCTATCCGGTTTCTCACAACCTTTATCCCACACTGAACCAGTTTTAATCCTAAAACTTTTCAGTTGCACATCTGTGACTATGCAATTTACAGAATAAGAAACAATACATACAGTATGCTGTTGAAGTATCTCTTCTATATTTACTCTGCTTCATACTAGAAATATTAGTACTTATTAAATGGTTCATAAATTGAAAACAATTGTTTTATTCACGGATAGTAAAGCATTTAATAATGACTTATAGATGAGTTACAAGCCATTAATAACAAAAAAACATTTTAGACCCATTTTTTAAACACATTTCTGTTTGGTAATATATAACGCAATTATAATAAATGTTCAAATAAATTAAAACATGCTTAAAATATTGTTAACACACAGATTTTGAGGGCTCCAGATCCTCAGCAGCCCTTTTCTGTTGTTAATTGGTCATACAGTCCAATTACTCAAATGGATTTCTTATTAGTGATCTACAAAAAAATTGAAAATTATTAATTAACCATTAATAGAGCTCATAATTACAATTTACAAACCCTTTATGAAGTGGTATCCAAGCCTTTACTGTATGAACCAACATGTACTCCAGAAAAAAAGACATTGATCATTGTGTAATGGGATTATTACTCTTGCTAGAGTGTTTAACTGTAAACTATATTTACCATATAATTTTTCCCCTGAGCCTTTAAATGAGATATCTACCAGTCAGCTTGCTATAATTCTTTCGGTGGCAATTATGCATTATTGGATAGAGCATACAGTGATAATAACTTGATAACAGTTTGTCTTGAACTGAAACATCTCGCAGCCAGTAAGACATGCAAGGCATGAAGCGTATCCACCAACCCAGAGGCTTGACTCTTCAAGTCAAGCTTGCTCATTCATTCTTTGACCCTCTGAACCTGCCGACCTTTGCACACACACACACACACATCTGCCTGGTCTTTCCCCTGCCAGCATAATCACTCCAGCACAATGAAATAATAAAAAAAAGTTCTTAAATTCACAGCGTTTGCTGTTTCAAGTTGTGAAAGCAGACACATAGCTCAAGTTGTGAAAGCAGACACATAGCTCACTGATTCTCTGAAGACAACCACAGTGGAGTGTATAATGATTTAATGAATCATACGATTATAAATCTGCCAAAAACAACAATTTATACAATCTCCACGAATTGCTGCTGTTGTTCTTCACCTTGACTGATAATAAACTATGTTGATATTTGTCAAAAACATTCACTCTTTATGTTAAAAGATGTTTTATTTCAATGCCAAAAAAAAGGAAGACCACTTAAAATACTGTGAGGTTGTACAGATAATACCAGCAATAACTGATGTAGCAAGGACTATTTTCTTTATACACATATTATTTTATACCAAGGATCTAAATTCTCGCAATGTGAACTGCTAAAACAAAATCCCTGACAAAAGAAGGATTAAAGGCTCTCTTACCTTTCCATTCTTCAGATGCAAAAAGAAAGGTTTAGTCAGAGCTGCCAGTTTGGTCTTCCCCAAAACGCTTTCTGCAGTGGATCCATGGAGGACATTCTTCTTCTCTGATCGTTGGGACGCAGGACCGATTCTCACATTAGAGATCTAAGAATGAGAGATGAATTAATCTGAGCAAAAGCCTGCACTTCCTTTGCTGCTATGCATTTCTTCTCCGAAGGAAAGGAAACATGCAGACTTTTACCAGTTGAATCAAACGTGTATTTGTCGTGAGAAACAAGTGGATGATTCTAACTCTCAAAATGACATCATGTCCCATCTCAACATATATTGGACCGACATACCGCCAGTTGGATCAGTTGATCGTCTTTGCTGCTGGGGTCTCTCCACACTAGGTTGACGTCCACATCGCTTGAGATCTTGTAGCCAGCACTGCCCTCTTTTGACCCCCGGGTCCTGTCCACCAGCACCACAGTGGTGTAGCTGAATTTGTACAGCTGGTTGTTGTTCAGCCGGGGTCCAGCAGCACCTGAAGAAACACAGGAAACACAGCTGGTGAGCAAAGAGTGAAGAGAGTGAGTTTGATCTGCTAAAAGACCACTCTCATATTGTGGTGTGTGAAGATATTGTAGGTCTGTTAATATACTGCCGACTTAAAAGGTGTTTTTTAGACATGTTTCATATCCATCCAATGGTTTCATTTTGTGTCTGTACCGTAAGTGTATCAGCTAGTAGAAACCTGAAACCTGACATAGTAATCCAACATCAACAACATTCAGCCATCGTAATTTGTTTGTCGATGTAGTTGTGACTATTTTAAAAACTGTTTTGGTGGTGTGTTCAAGCTCTAAAATCTGTTGAGCAATGGCTGTGTTGTCAGAAAAATAAACCTGGGAAACAAACAATAAGCAAACATGAATATTGTGTGAAAGATAAAAAGGTATTTTCATATTTTCTTACAATTTAAAAAATTGCTGTTTGGGAGCAAACTTTCAAATCTCAGACTTATTAGCTCAAATAAGTGCACTACTAAGGATACTTTTTAAAACAAGCCCAACTTTTAACTGGCTTACCATCAATAAAAATGTAAATTTGATAAACAACGATGACCAACTGTTCGCTCTGATGAATTAACTCAAACCAGACGACTAAAATGCTGTAGTCTTTGTCTTTAATTCTGGCAATTGTTAATAATAAAGCATTCTGAAACTCTCTGTTGAAAAGGCCTTTTTAGCTAGTTGTTTTCCAACATCAAACATGCTGTTGCTTATCTTATTCCAGGTATCTTTTACTTGTGGCCACACCTCTGAAATGTAGTGTTTTTAGCTTCCAAAAATACACTTCAGGTATTTCTCAATAAAAAACTGCCACTGAAAAAAACAGCTCCTTTTCTTTCATTTTTTGTTTTAAAGAAATACTATCTGTGAATAGCGTTGAGATGATTCCATCAGAGGCCATTTAACAAGGTGTGTTCAACCTGAGAGAAGATAAAAATATCTCCACTCCTCTCCCAATGACAAGCTTTCCATTAGATATGACATTAGGCCACGAGGGAAGGCAGACTGACGTGTCAGCACTTGATTTCATCACTGGTCTTTGACGAACGTGGAGCTGAAATTCAACAAATAAAAATGTCTGTTCTGTCTTTTATCAACTGACTGAGATTCTTAGACATCAGAAGCAAGACACAAAACAGAAATAAAGTGTTTTTTGTTTCGTAATGTTGCGTTTTATCTTTCTTGACTCCTTCACCTCTTATCAATTAGTGATGTCACAAAGCAGCACTATGTGAATGAAGCGAGTCCATTGACAATAAATAGGAGACTGACATTGTGGTCTCTGTAAAATCACCCAGTGTGATTTCCTGCCAGGATTCATTCATTTGGGGTATTTTTCAGTCTAGAATAAAATTAGGCTCGAGACCTTGGATCATCCATGACTTTCTCTCTATGAAGAAGCCTCCAAAGCACAACAAAGTGTCATTTTGAGGACCAAATAAATCCTCTTGCCACATACTGATTGAGCATGAAGTAAATATCCTCTTTTCCCCAAATACATACATTCAACCTTTTATATAATCTACTAAACGTTACTGTTGGCCCCAAACAACACACTACTTCTTCTCACAGAAAAAAACAAACTCACCTTTGGCAGAAGCTGAGACAGAGCAGGCTGCACAAAGCAATAACACTAGAGTTAACATTGTGTGTCGTCTCGCTGTAGCCAGAAGAACCAAAACCGAGAGTCTGTGTGGCACTACAGGGCCAAAAAGAAAGGCAAAGCGAGTTCAAGCTTCTCCTATTATGTTTTATCGGAGGGGAGGGCAGACTCCAAACTCCACGCTCAAGTACTAAGTACGAGATAACCAGCAAATCATTAACCGGACGTGCACAGATTTGACAGGAACTTCTGCAATTGACAGACGCAGCCATGAGTCCCGTTTTAATAGAGCGAGGCCGTGAATGTGACTGCGTCTGCGCGCGACCATGTGATTAATTAATGAATACAAATGTGATCATCTGATTGATTGAAGTGAGAGTCGGCGGTTAAGTTTCTACTGCAAGCCCTGCTTAATCGACAAACAATTAAGTTATAAATACAAGTCATACAATTTGTCAAAACATATCTAAGAGCATATTTACCAGGAGGTCGCAGAGACATCGTCATGTTAGACACCATTCACCTATTTTTTTCTTTTTGGGAAGAACAGTTGGTACTTTGTCAGCGTGTCCTTCGTTGGAGGAAATGGGCAGTCTGTCGATGAAACCAGCCCTCTAGCTCAAGTTACAGCGTATCAGTGGACCCCAAAGTTTGGTTTACGCTTTGAGTAAATTAAGGACACTGTTGATTTATCCGATTGTAGACGTAATTAATCTAAAAATTAGTGTTACGGGTAATTATAAAAGTTGCAACGTCAGTTTTTGAAATGAAAAATGGGTGTATTCGGTAAATCTGCAGTGTGTGTGTGTGTTGTGTAATTTCAAAGCCTCTCCTTCACCTTAGTTACAGGTCAAACTTTCTGTCTCCTCTCATTCAGAAATTCACACAAATGTCCTGCATTCATCATCTTACTTAAGTAAAAGAGAGGAATTGTACTATTGTACTGTAGTAAAAATGTAAAGTGAAATGTGGAATACTTTGTATACTGTTATATAGTTAACAAATGATTGCATGTTTTTGTAAACTCATCATATGTTTTATATGTAAAATGAAGCTGTCAGATGGAGTAAGAAGCATGATAAAGCAAATGTTAGCTCAAGTAAAAATGAAAGTTATCTCAAGTTCGTATTAAGCGCTTGAGTAAATGTTTTTTCCATCACTGAACTCTTGAAAATAAAGATAATTGAGATTGAAGCACAGAAGCACTGACTACAGTGAATGTGAGTTTAACTGAGCAGCCAGTGGGTGTCAGTGTTTGTCTGCTGGTGTTGATGGTTACCAGTTTAAAGTTTCTGAATGTGAATCTAAATCCAGAACAGAACACAGAAATATGATCACTTAAGTCTTTGCACAAATTGTCTTCAGGTTGAGATTATGTTATCCCACCTCTAGAACACAGACATCATCTCAGCTCTCCTTATCTGATGATGCCTTCACTGTCCTGAAACTAGACGATTCCCAAAGTTAGGAAGCTGTTTTTGTCAGTTGATAATAGTGTTAATGTCCCGCTTCAGGAGCTCAGTACCTCTCACAGATCACCTTACAGATTAAGTACCAGGATGTACTGTATATGATGACTCATGCCCTGTAGCACACTGCAGGAGTATTGTTGCTTTTTGTTATTGAAGGGATGGATAGGTTATCCTTCCTTTTTTATATTATCTTAAAACTACAAACACGACTGGTCATAGTAAAAAAAATTACTGCATATCATCACATAATCACACAACTGGATGAAAGTTTGATATATATTCGAAAGGCACAAACAGAACAAAACAATTACTGTAGATACATTGCTGTACAATACATTTAAAACATAATAGGTAACTTCTTAAGAACTAAAGTAGGTTTTTCGTCCCCACTTTCGAACGAAAGGGAGCTAAAATAAGAGTAACAAAGAAACCCTTTATCTCTTACTGTTTCTGAATCACCTGAAGTAATCAGCAAACTTGATTAAGTTGATGAACTTGCATAATTCTTTTAGTTTTTGTGTTGTAATCTACATGGTTGAATGAATGCACTTATTGTAAGTCGCTTTGCGTAAAAGAGTCAGCTCTATAAATGTAATGTTGTCCAAATTTATAGTGAAAAAATGAATGCGTAAAGTACACAAAGGGACTAGCAGTGACCCTGGTTGTATGCTAATCAGTATAAATCATCTAAAATTACAGAAGGGATGTGATTTTGACAATTCTTTGACAGAAAACACACAAAAAAGTTCCGCTGTCCCTCAAATATTTGGAGAATAAAAAGATCAGGAGGGTACTTAGTTGACTGTTGATTTAATTTATATTTAGTGAGTTGTGGACGTGTTTAAGAGGAAGGTTGATTACATCAAGTCTGTTGTTGTTCTCCAATGAGTCTAGAAAATGTCCGGAAGTAACACTGAGGCATCTGGCCAAAGGTCAGATCATAGGTTCAATCAATTGCCTGATAATACCACAAACACGTAACTTATCAAAGCTGGGTATCTAAATTGCAAATTATCAGGGTTGTGTTGAAAGAAAAGTGTGTGTGTGTGTGTGTGTGTAATCTCTGTAGATAATATAAGGTTTAAGAATAAGGTTTATTTTAAGCGAAAAACAGCAATATGGCCATGCAGACGACTTCACCTCAATCTAATCAACCGATGACAATTAAGGAACTGAAAACAATCTGAGACAACACACGAGTAGCATGAGAGACGAAGCCAGGCTCTGACTTTCAAAAGTAATAGCTGTTGCATGTATTTACCATGTTTGGTTTTTCAACAACTTTTCAGAAACTCTGATGCACCTGAGAGTTTTATTTTTTAAATCAGACTTTCTGTAGAGATTTAATAGGGACAGCACTCTTGAATGGATGCCTCGTGGTATTCTTCAAGTGAGCATCTCTTCTCATAATAGGATAATCATCATAATAAAATAAAAATTGAGTGGCAGTGCCTTACTTTTTTTCCCAATTAAATACCAAAGCTGGTATCCATCACTACCTAGAGGTTGTAAAACATGATGTGTAAATGTGTGTGTGTGCTTTCCTTGTAAGGACCTTTATGTCCCAACTAAAATCATTTTAAAAGACAGTAAAAAAAAAAATGGTTTAGAATGAATTAGCTACGCACAACAGCGGTCTGGTCATGGCTTCTGGATTCTTCCACGCTTCCAAAGATGAGCAATATGTCTTTTGCTAGGAAAAGCACATGTGTGAATAGTAATATTAACAATGGTTGAGCTGCTTCAGAGTCATTGCGCATGCTGGCTCATTGTCAGTCATCATTATTGTTATTAGTAACATAGTAACCATGCTTTTCCTTAACTGTTGACAAGTTAAACTTCTTCTTAAAGCAATTTGATTTGTCGTCAAGTGAAACACCAGAAAGAAAGGTTACAGAAGATGGATTTAAAATAATTGTCCTGTTGGAGAGAATCTCAGTTCATTTGAGTAAAAGAGATTTCAAACAAACATCATTAAGTTAACTGAATATATATTTTTTATTTAATATTAACTTTTTCAAAATATTACATTTAGCATTTTAAAGTACTCAAAGTACTGTGAACTTATTTGGTTTTATAGTGTATATCTTTTTACCAATAACTGACATTTTCTTGTAAAGTACAATAACTGAATCACTTGCTCTGAGAGTAAGTTGCAGTTATCTTTATTTTTGTCTATGTTTAAAATGTATTAGTAACTGTGGCCAAACTCAATAAACCTCAACCCATGCAGGATCTATCTACAGTGTTTATGCACAGACAAACGTTTACAAAGACCCACATTTATTCAGATATATATTTACAACCAGCTATTTACAAGAATCAGGAATACACATGAAACACAGGTTATAATCAGGGGTATGTAGAAATCTCAAATATGGCACTGAGTGGTAGGAAAAAGTGTGATCAGTCAAAACAATCATATGAAGCTTTTAGTGGAAAAAGGATATTTAACCCCATTGCAGCTGCATTACATTTAGAAGATTTCAAAATGCAGAAATGCATTTATTCCATATATTTTGTGTAAGGATGTTCAGTTCATCAAGGCTGCAGAAGATGTGACTGCAAAACAAAAGAAGCTCTGTGTAACATACTGCAGGCTCATAGTGCCTCTATATAAAATGGCTGCTTTTACTTTTCATGATGTGCAGTTCTATTAAAAGGTCGACATGAAGTGATGTCTAGAAAGAAAAACATATATACATTGTATCTCAGTTTGCATTTAAAATAATGCTGGTGAGAGAGCCTGTGTGCTCCACTTTCAAGTAACGCATGTATGTAGACTATAAATCATTACTACGTTCAGTTCAGTTCCACCAAGCAGCATGCCATTCATGATGCTCATTGGAAATAGCTTGTATCCTAATTTTCCAGTGAAAACTTCCAGATCAAAATATCTAAACACAACAAACAAAAAGTTATCTAATCAATTAGGCAGATTCCATGAAACAAACATATCAGCAACAATAAAAAAAATGTTTAGGAAAATGACTGAATGAACACGGACAGTAAGGTAATGTGCAAGGAACGGCACAACACTCATAATGTGCTGAAAAACATTTTCTGTCAAACTGCTTTTGAAAAAAAAGAATATATATATATATATATATATATATATATATATATAAATGACATTATGGAGCACCATGAAGTAACAGATGCAGTTTGCAAGTGTTTAAGGAAAAGTGCCCCCTCCAGTGGCTGCTGCTAAAATAACAGTCCGTTGCGACAGAAATCACTTGTATGAAGATTAAAGTGCTTAAGGCTGAGTAGTTGGGATGTCACCTATTATGGTTCCTTTCCGTATATTTAGACATTATTTAATGTCACTGCCAAAAACTCTCAGCGAACTGCAACTTCACAAAGCCTACAATATCAATCGCATCCCTTCGTGATACTTTACATCCACCTCAGCTCCACAAAACTCTGCTTACAAACTGTATCTGTAGAATACGAGCATAATGTCACAGATGGAAAAAAAAAAATGTATATTCTCTGTTGCTTTGAGAAGAGTCCATTAAACATTCAACAAAGTGCTAACCAGCCGCTTCACTCTTAACTATAGAGACTATTTTACAAATATTTTTAAAATACTTAACATTGATGAAATACATTTAGGAAAGCCGATGTCCTACCAGTAGACAATAGGCATGCAGTGCATTTCCAGAATCACTTTAATCTTTGTACACAACCCTTACACGCAGTGTTAAAAACTGCAGCTGTGAGACATATAAAACCAAGCCTCTTCACTGAATGAAGCGCCACCTCTGATTAAAAACACCAAATCTAAGAGGTAACTCTAGTTATGACACCCTCCGGTCTTCATTTGCAGGCTTACGAACTAAATTCATCTGAACTGGGAGTTATCCTTTGAGCCACTTCAGCATCATATCTGCTTGTATTGTAAAACACTGTCATTGCATTTGTTTAATTTGTACTGTATGAGAGCTACAATACACTTTAGAGGTTGTGCTTCATTCAGAAATAGGGCCACAAATAACTTTAAAAATAACTCTACATTTACTATTTACACGTCAATGAGACTCTACGCTGTGGACACGTTAGCTGATTAATTTATTTCCCTTCATTGCTGGAGTCCAAACTGCAGAGTCCTGTGGAAACAAACTAAATATTTCAGTGTAAAGAGACACGGGGCAATCAATGGACTCAATCAATATGAATATGAATATTTATATGCTCCAACGTTAGTGGTGAATCCAATAGTGCTTACCTGGTACATCCTTCTTGCCTTTGGAGATTCTGTGGAGGTCTTAGGTAAACAAACTGCACAAAGACAAAGGAAGATTTAAGTACAGATAAAACGCATAACAAGACTCACAAGCAGCTCTATGAGGCTGTGCTTGGTAGACAACAGAATCTGGCATAACTTTATATATATATATATATATATATATATATATACTATCTATTTAGTTTTATGAATGTTGGTATCATATTTCTGTACCATCAAATAGTTGAGGGGATATTTCATGGCTCAAGAACTTCTACAGCTAAAGTAAAAGTTATTCTTTATCAATTTCACAAACTGTATAATTAATACATCACTGTTCCCAGCCTGAGTGAAATTGTGCTTGAATGAACACAAAGCTGCCACCTACCAACTCTCTCTCACGGCATCAATGTCGCTCACGAGATTCTGCGCTAAACAGATGCCAAAAATCTAAAAACGAAAACAAGAAATATTTTTCATGAGGTAAATTGAAAGTCAACAGAGATGAGATAATAAAGTAAACCGTTCACATTGGTCCTCACCTGTAGTAATGCAATCCCAATAAAGATGCCTGCCACCACTGTCAAGTTGTCTTGAAGCCACTTCTCAAACTGAGGAACGCATCCTTTGATATAGATGAAGGTCCGCTGCTCAGAGTCCTGACAGAACATAGAAACCAGTAATAAAGCCGAACAGGCAAGTGCATACACAGGATTTGGCTTTTACTTTGTTTATCCTTTTAAAAGTTTGAAATCTTATGAGTAACCAGAGGCAATTATGTTGGGATTTACTTTGCAGCACTTAAAAACATGGTAAATGGTAAATCCTTTTAATGGTGCCACATGATTCTACTGGTCATCTTGTGGTCTCCTCAAAAGCCCTTCACAATAAAGTCCTTCTGAACTAATATTGCCCGGTTGTTAACACACACTCAGCCCACTGTTTTTCTACTCTGACTAGAGTCTTTCAATTTATGACTAAACTAGCCCACTTTGCCTTTTTCCTCACATTTCAAGTCAATAAAACAAACACAGCCTTTTCCTTACAATATGCTACTGTGGAGTAAGGCCAAAGCTAATGATGGGGGAGGGGATTCAATTCCCAGTGCATTGCTGCAGCATGAGTAATACCACCCGGCCCAAAGTGCTGATGGGGAGCCAGCTGCTGTATTCCGAAGACTGTGCAGTTGGGAAACATACTGAAAGGGGAATATTGTGCCCAGGGTGGAGTACCTGAAGCATGACCTCATGCAGCCAAATAAACCTGTACTGTTTTAAGGCACTGGCTTACTTTGAGATGAGTTTCTGTTAAGCCACTCACCGCTTTTGCTCGAATGTCGTAGCCACACTGCGTGTTGATGACATCCTCCTATGAAGAGAAGATGGTTCATGCTTAAAAAATTTTCAAAAGGTAAAGTCAAGATATTTAGAGACATATACTGGGAAGATGTAAGGACGGTAATGCTGCTGGTCCAGGTAGTCCAGGTAGAAAACCTGTACTTAATTTTCATATTTGCCACTGCCGAGATTCACATATTGTTCTAATATATTATCAGGAAGGTTGCTGTGAACTAAACCTGCACAGATCTAGACTTGGATTTGAGTCAGATTTAAGTCACAAATATTGGGACTTTAGATTTGAATGGTTTGAGAGTTTACCTGGCAAAAGCCCTGAAACATTAAAAATCAAACAGCCACAGGGCAGACTTGCATAGACAAAAATCTGGCGATGCTATATTTTTTCTTTTTGTCAACAAAATCCATGCAAAGATTTAAAACCAGCAATTTCACACTTTAACAAGTATTGTGTGTGTGTAGACAAAGCCGGATATATCTTATTATTCTGTGCCACAGAGCTCCGTTCTTTCCACTATTGAGGTAATGCACTCATTATTCCTGATTGAGTTTGCAAAGAACTACATAACACAGCTTTTTGGGGGAAATTACAACGTCTTGTTTTGAAAATGACACTACATTTATGACCCCGGCCAGAGGAACTAAGTAAATATTGAGAGAAGAGCAAGATATATTTAGTCTTTTTATGGTCTTTGAAGAAAAATTAAGAAAAATGTAATTCTTTAAATGCCGTGTCATTTTAATGGTCCACAATCGGAGATCTTAAAGACTTGTAATTGACTTGCATTTTATTTATTAAAAACAATTGTGACTTGCCTCAAAAGACTTAAAAATACGACTGCTTAGAGCTTTAGAGCGCTTTCATGTCGAATCGTGTGTTGAAGATGTTATATTCATGCTAGTTGTTATGAAGTGCTGCTCTCAAAGAGGATGGCCTTGGTGGAATAGTGGAATGTCTTTCAGTCAGCAAATAAAAAAGACTCACTGCAATCTTACAGTGAAGCACTGTCACTGCTCTCCACAGAGACCAGCAGTTCGAGCATTTTTCCTGCCCCATAAAAAAGTCTCGGTCGAGATAACTCCTCCCAGTCGCTTTCAGACTTTGCTGTGCTGGCAGGGTCTGAGAGGACTAAACGCTGAGAGGCCTTGACGTCCTGTTGGAAGCACGCCATGATAATTTGACAGCCAGCCTTCTGGAGGACGCAGATAACCGAGCTATGAGTCACAGGGAGGACCTTCTAAATGTTCCCTCAAACTAAAAGGTTCAACATGTTAGAAAGCGACCTCCTCAATTTGTACTCCAACTTCCAGACACAAAAACACCACATTCCACCCAAAGGCTTGTTGTGTTTTACCGTAAATGGGAATGAATTGGCTGTGGATTAGAAAGACTGATGTGTGGTGAGTTTATGTGTTGACATACCGCTGGATCTTTGGTGCAGCAGGAGAAGGGCACTCCACACTTCTCACGACTCGGGTTTGAATCAGTGCAGTTGAAGTAGATGTTCAAGTTCCAGTCGTCAGCTCCGAACGCTCCACAGCACTCCCACTACGAGGTTAAACAGACACAAAGAAAAACTCACATATATGTCAACAATGTCCCAGAGAAATGGTAAAAACAACACGGGAGTGTAATAAGTACAGTGGATAAAGAAACATAGTGCTCACATATTCCTGGGTGAAGTCTATCAGGTTCTGCAGATCAATGTCGTCTCTATAGGCCCGAATGTTGTTGTTAATGAAAAAATTGAGCTGGTCCTTGATCCAGTCTTTGAAGACGAAGGCCAGGACTCCTGCAGTCAGCTCCAGGAAGAAGATGATACCCAGGAACACGGAGAACTGAAATACATTGGACCAATATTATTATAAGACCAAGGAGATTGGGGGAAAAAAAAAAAGGTTTTCACATTTCTTCACAAGTTGTTTGACAAGCGAACGTACAAATTTGAGCAAGAAAGAGTTTTCTCGCAGTGCTCCGATGCAGCCAGCGAATCCCAGGATGAACATCACGCCACCCACCACCAAGAAGAGCCAGACCGGGTCGAAGCCCCCCAAGTCTGTGATGGACGAGATGTTGGAGAGAACACCCTGGAAAAGCAGAGTGAGGGGTTAGAGGCTTAAATCATCGAGTCCACCGTCTCCATGAGTTGATGGTGTCCACAATCAAAAAACCTTTAAATTATGCGATGAGCTGAAATAGCTAGTCCGTTGTCAACTAGTTTGATAATCACTTTAAAGGAATAGTGCCGAGAGTCAGATGAGAAGATTGATACCAGTCAAATACGGTAAACACGAAGCTGGAGGAGTGGCTGGTTAGCTTAGCTTAGCATAAAGACTGAAATCAGGGGGAAACAGTTAGCCTGTCCAAAGGACAACAAAATCTGCCTACCAGCACCTCTAAAGCTCACTGATCAACACCATATATCCTGTGTGTTTGATCCATATAAATAAAACTATGTAAAAGCGGCAAGTTGTGGTTTTATGGGAGTTATGAGCTAAATTATTTCTTGGCCAGAATAGTGACTTTCTTACTTACACGAAAAACAGAAAATTGTCTTTTTTTACACTTCAGTTTGTGTACGGATGTAAAAAAAAGAGGTATATTGTGTTAATTAGTGATCTTTATAGGTGAATTGTGTTACCTTTGAACAGAGTCAGACTACATACAACAGACTGTTTCCCCTGTTTCCAGTATCTGTGCTAAACTAAGTTAACCAACTGCTGGTTCCAGCTTTATACTTAACAAACAGACAAGAGAAAAGTATCAATCTTCTCTTCTAACTCTTTGTGAGACATAATATTGGCCTCTTTTCATATAATGTTAAACTGTTAGACTGTCCGTCCCCCTTTATAGACCCCCGGAGCTGGACAGTGAATGAATCTATGAAGTGCATCAGATCTTTTCTTTGTGTGCATTGTTCAAGAGGGGAGTCCCACCGGAAAGCATGACATTCCTTTCTGACTCAGTCTAGCTACTGCCCTTAGATGGGCGTGAGCAACTGGAGAAAAATTGAAATGATCTGCTTAGTTTATGGATTATTTGCACACAACACATTGATTTAGCTTATTGTTTACACAGAGAGATAAGTGGTGAAATCACCTTCTCACTCCATGCCCACAGCCCGATGCCGAGGAATGCCAATCCAAGGAACTAACAGACAGAAAGAGACAAGAGAGAAGGGTTACTTTTTGCTGCGACTGCAACACGTAGCCGTCACACAGAAGAGAAACCACAGAGAGATTTTCCTGGCAGTGATCCATTAACTTAAAATATCTCTGGTGTCAGTCTGCTCTGCAGTATCGGGAGACTCCCACATTAGAAAGCATCTCCTGACAGCCTGGAAGCTTCATGATTTAAGTTTCGGGCTACAGTGTAAAAGTTCTAAACCACATTTCAGGATTTGGAAAGTTATGAACGAAGGCATCAGAAACAGTTGATATTAAAGCAGCCATTAAAAATTTGAATTCATTTGAGAACAGTTACATTTTCACAAGTGCTTGTTTTCATATCATTAAATGAATATTTAGATTTTCATCTTAGCTTCTGGCTACTGGTCGGACCAAAGAAAGAACTTTAGGCTGCGGCACAATTAGACTCACTTACAGACTGGACCCTATAGTTATGTTTTTTTCCCTTTATAAGATATAAAGCACTTTGTAAATGAGCTTGTGAAGGGATTCTTTGTGAAACCGTTTTAGAGGAAGAAGGCAGGAATGATACTTTTGACGCAGCCAACTTCCTCTGATGATATATGAATGTGAAGGGATCACAGAGGTCATCACTCTGAGGTCCATGAAGGCTCCATTTATGGCCCAAGGCGACATGAAGAGATATATGTTGTGGGGGCAATATAACGTTTTTTATGAGCAGGACTGCAGTTTGACTATGTTAGATTTTGATGCACATGATTTAAAAGGTATTTAATCTACTGGATTAGCCTACAATTGACAGTCCCATCCGGTTAGTTCATCCATTAATATTTATTGAATCACAAACAATACATACTGATATCATGAATGCCTGCAACAGCCGATTCAATTATTCAAATTAACTAGCAACAATTCTGATAATTAATTCATCACTGCAGTCAAGTATAAAGCCAAAATGCAAAACATTTCCTGGGTCTGGCTTCTCAAACGTGAGGACTTTACTGCTTCTATTTCTGTTCTGTCATTGTAAGTTGAACACCTTTGGGTTGAACACTATTGGTCAGAACTAGAAGACGTCAGCTTGGAATTTACGACGTTTTAAACATAGCAATTAATCAAGAAAACGATTTATAGATGCATCAATAACGACAAAGATAATGTTTAGCTGCCACCTAATCAGTTTAAGATATTCATATTCATGTTGTAAAGTTCATGAAAATGCTCCAAATAATTATATTTACTATAATTTAATGTTGGCCATCTTTAAACAATTAATCATGTTAAGATTTCTGTCAATCGATGAAACAACTAGTCACATAATCAATGCAGCTCTAATCCATAACTCCTCCTTTCAGGCAAGGCATAGTACTTCCATTAATACGGCATTTACATATATTATTTTATTTATACTTGTTATATATTGTAGCATTATGTACATAATTTACATTATATCTTACATGGCCCTTTATTTATATCCGTTTCTTATATAACGGCAACTGTAACAAACACATTGCCCCCCAGGTATCAATAAAGTATCCTGATCTGATTTTTATTACTAATGTCTGACATCACTAAAGCCATTTGTTATCCCTACAACAATAAAGAATATATACCTTAACCTATTCTAACCAGCTTCTGCTAAGTGGAGGCCCAAAGTGGGACATCCAGAAGTCTCTGATGGGGTTACTGGTAGTGGGTTTCAAAGCACAACAGCAGGTTTCTCAGTCTCGTGAAGGGGCTGGATGCCTGGGTGGACTGTGGTCTCAACAAAGTATAAAATGCATTTCTCCTTCTAAAACAAAACAATAATGTGTGTGTACATCTCTGACACCACCGATAAACAAAGTGTCCTCAGATGATGCAGCCAAAGCAAAGTGATGGTGGCAGCAGAGCCCTCACACGGACGCTGTCTGCACAACAACAAAGGCTGAGAGGTGACACTAGTACCGAGCAAGTGCACGGGGAGCAGTGAGCTGATAGCCGGGGACGAAATGAGCCAAATGTCCTCCTGTACAAAAAAAACAACGGGGAGACAGAAAACGGCTCCGGGCTGGAGGGGGGGTGTTGTTGGTTGCGGTCAAAAACACGTACCGGCAGTGTGTATTAAGCAGAGGATAAACCAGGCCTGAAGTCCTAACACAACAAACAAGGGGACTTACCCAGAATATGATGTTGAATCCGAAGATGAAGTACTTGATGCAGCAGCTCACTTCGTGAGCCTTGAAATGCTTTCCGGACATCATTTGGATGTTTGTGTTTTAAACGCCGCCCACAGTGGGGAGAGGACTCACATCTATCCTCTTGTGTTTGACAGCCCGGCTGTGGAAACACCTTTCTTTCTTTTTTTTTTTTTCTTTTTAAAAGGCTTCGACAAAACGCGTCGTCAATTATTTCCGCGTCTAATGATAAACATCCTCCTGTACCGTTAACTGTTTCCGCTGATTAAAGGCGCAGGTGAAGCCGCAGAGGAGCGTCAAGTGTGTCGGTGTCAGTAAAGATGTCCGTTTATTCCCGATATGGATCTAAAGAGGTATAACGGTACAAATAAATCCACTGAAGTCAACCAGATTAAAGCCGATGGTCTTCCATCTGACCCACAATGTAGACATGGCCGTTATTTGATTGACATCTGTGAGAGCCAATGAGAGCCTTTGGTGGTCACGGGAGGCGGGACGTCTTTCAGAAGAGGGCGCCACTGCCGTCGCGTGACCATGAAATACTTTATATTAATCACTTTAGAGTATCATTTATTCATCTATCCATCCCTCAACTAATTCATTTGGCTCATAATAGAAATTACGACTGTAAAATTAAAGTTGTATTATGTATTAAACCTATTGAGCTATGGGGACTGAGCGTGCATTATGTAATGAATAATCATATAAATAAATACAAGCAACAAATAAAACAAAAAAGTGATGTAATAATGAATAATAGCCTTTTCTTCATAATTCATGAGTAAAATTACATCTGTCATCTCTTGTAATGTATTTCTAAAAATATGCTTCACCATGATATTCAGAATGAACCCCAGAATAGATTTAAAGCAGAAGTGAATTCATGTTTTAGTTCATATTTACACATCTGCAAATAACGAGTTCAGATTTTGCTATATTAAAGTTGGAGCTTTTTGTTATTTGGTTCCACTCTTTGGAACAAACTGCCTGATGACCTGAGAATCATCAAATCTGTGTTCATGTTAATTCAATAAAAGGATATTTTCAGGCATAAACTGTTATTATTCTGTGAGGTGGATGTGCAGTTTGTGAGTTTATTTTGGAAGGTGTGTGTTTTGTTTTTCTAGACACGTACTGTATGTCTACTGTACATCCAAACATACAGTATGTTAATCTGTGTATTTGAATGTACAGTAAATACAATAATCAGTGTGCTGTGGCTCTGTATATTAATTTAATCAAATATTTTGAATATTCTATTTTTCTTATACTAACAACTAAAGGTTGTTCTGGAATTATCACCTGAAAGTAATAAAATAAATTGGATGTGGAGAAATGTTGCCACCTGGTGGCAAAACGTGTCGCCTGGGTCATCTCGAGTCTCGGTCCAAAGAACAGATCTGCTCATGTAAGAGACATAAAGCTGCAAAATGAATAATTAGATGCGAGCAATACTTTTGATTCATGCATTAAATCAACATGATACTGTCTGTAAAATAAACACCAGCAATCATTTTGAGTATTGGCTTGGTTTATTGAATATAATAAAATATACTAATGTTCTAGTCTATTACAAATATTTGTTTACAAAACAGGATAAATTATGAAAATAAATACTTCTGTGCAGTTCGTCTCTATTGTCAATGCAGGCAGAGAAAAACTGAGATTTGCATACACATGTTAGACCATAAAAATAACACAACTCATTGTTATGAGATCATAATCACACATCATGCCAAGACAAACATTAGGATGCAGAGGGCAGCATTTCCCAGGCTGTCCTGTTCACACAAACTCCTTAATCCGAGGGTGATTCATACAAACGACCCACCATCGTGGATCACATGTAGGACTCAATATCATTTGCAGCGCAGTGAAAGTGTGCTTGGGCCCACAACAGCTTTGTTCACATTGTTAATACTGTCCCCAAAGATTCTCCTTAAGAAAAAAAATACAAAAAATTACAATGGCAATACAAAGGTTGTAATTATGCAATATCAAAAATCATTCATCCCTAAAATTCGGCTACACATCACTTTGAAAAATATATTTTTGGGGGGGATTTAACAAAATACTTAACCTCATGAAAAGTTATTTTTTACTCTTTAAATCATGATTCTTTATTTGACCCTTCATGTGTGCACAAGATATTTTAGTAGGTCGAGTTCCCAGAAGCCTCTGCAGGAGGACGGGAGTAAAATAATATCAGTTAACACAGCTTGAGGCAGTTTCCAAGAACATTTAAAACCATTTGTTTGTGGTGAAAATCTTTGGTGAAACTTGTTTTGTAGGGTTAGCTTTAGCTGTAGAACCCAACATTCTTCCCTTTTATATTCTACACACAGAATTTCTATTAATTTCTGTCAAATGAACACGTTAAAACAAGCAAGACTAGGTTATCTGTCCCACAACTTCTCCTGCGATAACCTAAACCTCATTTCCTTTTGTTATCCAACACATTCATCACACTGCATTTCCTCTTTTAGAGCAAACAGCTTCAGATACATCACACAAGGACACAGTGTACCTTCATTTGCTTCTGTAGTCTGTTATCCTGTTTGATTAAGGCTTTTTGCACAGTTTCCATAGTTTTGATTATATTTAGCACACAGTCTAAAATACTGAGCCTGAAATAAATAACCCTGAAGAGAAGTTTAAGAGTTGAGACGCTTGGATGAAAACTTCAGCATTAAAAGCTGTCGCGTGCAAGCAAAGTTTTGAGTACATAATTATCATTGAAGTGTGCATTAAGCCAAAGGCTTTGAGAACCATTCTTCATTTTGTGCAAAATATATAATTATTTCCTTGAATAGTCAATCTTATTTCAATACATTTTGATTTCACATTCAGTTTTATTTGTTCTACTTTGGGTTTTGGCCAATATCAAAGGGTACCTATTCATTCAATAATATACAAATGATATGCTTTTCCGAGGAAAATAACTGCATATCACATTGTTAGTTAAGAAAATATATACAGGAGTACAATAAACACATTTCTCATATACTATATTGAACAATCACAATGGCATGCTGGCAGCAAAACATCGTACACCCATAACGGAACGAAGCTTGCGTTTCTGGCGTTTTAAGTAAAAATGGCCGTCCACAAAGAGGGCAGGTCTAACAGCCTGAATCCATTATGTATTTAAAACACATAAGGCTTTGTGTGAAACACTTCTATAACAACTTATGAACCACCTTGTTGATTCATTGAGCGCAATAGGATCGGCTGAGCAATATAATATGAAGCTTTAATGCATTATGCATCAATCACAGTTAAAGGATCCAGTGCTTTATTGTTTCTAAATATGCTTTCATGATGGCTAGACTGCACCTATGAGATGCTATACGTGTCTTTATAAAGGCAATACAATGCTTTACAATGAGGTTTTTTGAGTTACTATAAAATGTACAAAATCTTCTTTTTAAAGAAGCCAGAAATGCATAATACTAATACTTACATGATACCATAAAGCCTGAGATTAGGTTTGGAACACTGTAAAGGTTTCTTGGCTTTGATAGTGTTTTTGTTTGAAAAGTTCCTCTTTTGGCATCATGTTAGACTAATTTGTAACACCTTTTGTTCTTTGACAGAGTTGCATAAACACTGCTGTGTAATGAAACCAGACAGGGATGGACCGTTGGGCCTTAATGTGCATCACCTACATCACCCAGTCACAGCGGTGTCGTTTGAATGCATCTTGGCGAGAAAGTGTTAAAGCAGAGCTGCACACTCGCGTCACCTTAAGTCACCTTGATAGCAGACTTCTTGTGGACACAGAGGAAGTAAATGTAGGGCACTCCGATGAAGGCCCATTTCTCGTTGGGCCAGAACATGATGACGGGTCCTCGCTCCGGGGCCTCAGTCGCAACGTCAAAGTAGGCAAAGCAAACGCAACCCAAGTAGGAAGCCAGACAAATGAGGATGTGCCTGTGAAAGCAAAGTTTGAATGAACCAAACTGCTGGAGAAAAGACTCGAAATATATCAAGGTGTTGTCACAAACTCATGTGGAGTAAGATTATTTCTACTTGTTTTCAATTCAAAATCACCTTGTTTATGGTGTTTTGCTTAAATTTCATTTTTCCTGATTCTAATACAGGACTCTGCACTTATTCTTGATTCAAGATCCAGACCCTAATGTATGGCTTTTTCACTTTTCTTCAAAGGACCTTAACTTAATTATAGACAGAAAAAAAACTTGATAAGATGGAGATCTTGTGTAGAAATATGCATTTTAATTGTAATAATTTGTGTATAATGAGTAGATAGATTTTATGACCTTAATAATAGTTAATAACAACTTAATAACAACTTTGAGCTCACCAAGCACAGTGCAAGTAGGGGAAGTTGACAGACGACCACATCTCGCAGAATATCCTGTCGCTGATCCAGCAAAGCAGAGCCAGTGCCCACCAGATCCCTGAGACCAGACCCAACTTGAACACACGTGGGTTTTCACACCTGCAATGACCAAAGAGAGCACTGAGAAATGTGTATAACGGTGAAAACACACAACAATATGTACTTAGTTTGGTGTATGCAACACTTAGTGCATACGAGCCGTCTATGCAGGTACACAAAATACAAAAACATCTTTTTTGGCATCTTTGATGAGCAAGTCAAAAGCAAAAAGAAATAATTTAAATTAAAAGAAAAAATACATAAAATTTTCCTATTCAAACTTGCTTTAGCTTTTGCCAATTTGGCTTTTTTTGGCCACTATGTGGCAGTGGCACAATATTGACAAAGTGTCACCTTTTCATTTGCTACGGTGAACTTGTTCGCAAACAGTTGCCTCAACATTAGCATCCACTCAGAGCCGTGTATGTTTTTACTTGATGATTGTAAGTAAGTCTCCTTTAAGCTCTGTTTGATGTCTCCTATGACTCCATTCAACAAACATGTGATTCTTTAGCTGCTAAATACTCCACTGTATTCACCAGCGAGTTGGTTTACGCATTTTGGGCAGATACGGTACATTTTTTGTTAAAGCTTTGTTGGTACAAACTGCTGCCAGCTACGGCTAAAACTGAGACTGGACCAAAACTATTATTATTAGTTATGGGACAGAAAACCGAAACAGTGAGCTGAAAGATGTTCAAACACTTTGAAGGGCTGAGGGGATGTAAATACTTTTTCTTTTACCTGAGGCTTCTTAATCCTCCAAGAGGGCAGTCATTCATACAGGACTCATTTTACTGTCTGTGTAGCTTGGGTGCTGTTATATTTACAACTGAGATGTCCATACCAAGATGTAGAGTTGTAGGTTAGCACATTTATTTTTAGATGCGGCAATTATCTTTTTTTTTGGGGGGGGGGGGGGGGGGGG